ATATTTAGTAATTTTACAACCGCCTTCTTAGTTACTAGAGACTCAGACAGAATTCATTTCTGAAAGAATCAAAGAAGATACCACGACCGGTTTCGACCTTTCTCAAGGGTCTCGTCAGGTGGTTTCCTTCGTGAAAGACAGAGTTAAGGCACGATAAGCAACACAAACTCCGTCCACACCGTATGAGGATGTTACTATTCCTTGTTCTTATCGAACAAAGAACGATAACTTTCACACCACAAGAGCGAAGCACGATATCACTGTACAATGCACATTTTCTGTAATTGAGAAAGGTCGCAACCGGTTGTGGTATCTTCTTTGATTCTTTCAGAAATGAATTCTGTCTGAGTCTCTAGTATCTAAGAAGGCGGTTGTGAAATAAGTCGAGTTTCATATACAGATTTATTCTTATCAAAATCGAAATTAGATTCAGCTATATCATTTTCATCATCACTATTTGTATCTGATATATTTGATATGGATTCGTATTTGCCACTTCCATCAAGACTATTATAAGATGAGGTGTTTGATGACATAATTGTTGACTAGTATATCTGAAATAAAAAAACGAACAAAATGAATAAATAATTAATAATTGAATAAAACTACACATATGAATGCAATACATATATTGATAAATTTCTCTTTTGCGAAAAATTCATATAATCATGGAACAATCATTGTTTCACAATGGAAATAATTACGTTCTGTTAGTATCAAATAAATATATTCAAATCTTAAACACAGACGTATCTATGGCTTATACAGAAATATTATGCCAAAAGGAGAAGAAAAGCATAAGACGAAGATTATTTAAACTATATGTAAAGGATAATGAACTCTGCGTCTATTGCCTTTCATATTCACATTCACTCTTTTCATTCATATCATATCACTCTCATATTGTTCATTTCTCAATCTGCCGCATTCTTTGTCTCTCTCATTGTACATTACATATCGTCTCTCATTGTGTGTATATTAACTCACTCTCTCTTTTGTGTTCAATATCTCTCTCATTCTTAATATTACCATCACTCTCTTTTTGTCTTCTGCACTATATATATATTCGTTGTACAGCACTTACATTGGAGTCTATTGTAATAATCTCAATAAATGATAGAATTTCTTATTTTTGTTTTTGAGAATCTTTTATTTGGCACTTTTAAATATATTACATTTTCATATCGTTCGCGATCAATGGATCATGGATGCCCCATTTACCTGTAAGCACTTCTCAGAAAATTCGTACGTCATAAGAACAGCCCGTTCTATTTGCGTGGAAAGGCAACAGTTTAAAATTGGTTTGTCAATACGTATCTATGGTTATCAAACGACAATCCTTGCTGAATTATATTCATTTTATGTTATTCCTTTCTCAAGCTGAATTAAGAGCGAAGTCCTTTTCGTTGTCTGTAAGACCAGGAAAAATTATTGGTCGTTGTGTTACATGTATTTTACTAGTTGTTGTATTAATACAAATATTGCAAAATCATAATAAAAGTCTGACTATTCCTTACATAAAATATTAGGTATATATGTTCATTTGAATTTAATAGTTAAGCATGTCGTAGAACAGTGGCTCCATGCTCTGATACCACATTTGATAACCACGAAGTCAGTCCATTATTACGACAATAGCATTTCTAAATAAGTTAAAGAAAGCAGAAAGCAGAGCAGAGTAAATATAGTTGGTGAATTGTTCTAAGGTAGAGCTAAATGAAGCAGATCAGCAGTGAAAAGCTCAGGTATAACATGGTCAACCGCATCTTGAAAATTCCATGTAAGATCTAGATATTTCACCCAGTAATTATCATCTAACTTTGAGATTGCTGTGTTAATACTTGGTATTTTATTGTTAAATGCTCCATTGTTTCTTGGTAAAATACTCAATAGAAGCAAACGTGCTTGTGGTAATTTTGCTCTTATATCTTGGACGATTTTCGTTATTCCTCGTGTAATATCATCTGCTGTATTGCCACCAACATTGTTCGTACCAATTTTTAGTACAATCAATTTCGGTTGAATGCCGTCGAGTTCACCATTATGTATACGCCACAGAATATGTTGCGTTCTATCACCTCCAATGCCAAAGTTAACAGCTCCTCTTGCTGCGTAATGCTGATTCCAAAGATTTCGAGCTCCTCCTAACCAACCTTCTGTAATCGAATCACCAAGAAAGACTACACGAATACCACTTGCATTTGCCCGTATCTGATTCAAAAAGCCATTGTGTCTGTCGAACCACCATTGTTCTCGAACCTCATCTTCCCATGGTGCTGCCGCAAATAAACTATGAACAGTTGATAAAAAAACCAAGAATGATATGGATGTGCGACAAAGCATGGTTTCAGTTTTAGTTTTCTTTTCAAATATTTATTAGCCAAAAATAAAAATTAAACTATTTTTTCCTCTCCTGTATATAATTCATCAGGTGTTGTACATACATAAACTGTTTTCCTATTATGAATCTATATTCAGCATTTGGTCTTATTCTCACTAAGACATCGTATTTTTATAAAAGGGCACACGAAAAAATTCTTGGTGCTATCTCGATATGCTTTCCATGTCGAGATATACGAAAAATTCTGAAAGCCAGTAAAAAAAACTGAAAAATCTGACTTTTTTTGCTTGATTTTCAGCATTTTCTGTATATCTCGAGAAGCAAAGCATATTTTTTGGAATAAAAGTTTACATTCTGAGATAGGATCTTACGTATCTGTGGTAAAAATTTGAGATAGATCGGACTATTTTCTTGAGGGGTCGTAATGTGACCCAATGAAAACTGATGTTTTCCAGAAACCCATATAAGAACATCCGAGAAAATTCTGAGCAAAAATACTTCGATTTTCTTTTTCGATGTTCTAACTCTGCTATAAATTGGAGCACGATTGAACGTGTGCTCCGCATTTGGCAATAAGGTGAAAAACGAAGGGAGGGCACCTTTAAAGATCTGTTTATTGCTCTATCTAGTTTTTATGGAGTTATTGTTTTCGTAGAAATTTTCATAATGGGATTTCTAACTCAATAGTTTTACAAGCTATGTATATTAAAAGTCTCATATTTCTGAAGTTATTTAATTTCCCCTCATCTACGCTTTCGACGTCTTAAACTTAGAGTTTAGATATTTTTTATTTAAAGAACCAATGCTTTCTTTGTCTATTACATGAACCGAAAGATTTATGTTGTTACAAGAAAGAAAGCACTTTTCAGCAGAAAAATGTGCTTTCACTTGACTTGCAATCACATCCTACGGCCCAAACAAAAGACATATGTCAGTGTTCCCAACGTTTTTTTCGTGTGCCCTTTTATAAAATTGCGATGTCTCTTAGTGGGAATAAGACCAAATGCTGAATATAGATTCATAATAGCAAAACAGTTTATGTATGTACAACACCTGATGAATTATATACAGGAGAGGAAAAAATAGTTTAATTTTTATTTTTGGCTAATAAATATTTGAAAAGAAAACTAAAA